TGTGCGGTGTGGTATATGATGGTACTTACAATTGTGACTAAGGGTTGTGAAATGAATTTAAAGCAGGATCAAAAGAAATGAAATAGAATAGAAATGAAAGAAAATGACAGGTAGAGGAGGAGGGAGGGGCTTTGTACAGATGAGTAAACTAAGGCTAAAAGAGGCCATGTGGCTAATTACGGGTCAAGTTGGAACTGGACCCCAGGCCTCGTAAATTCCAGGACAGTGTTCATTCCACTGCACATATATCTGGAATGGTTTTCATTTTACAAATGTAACAATTTAGGGAAGGAGGGAGATAACTGGAAAAACTCACTTGTTGGATCCGGATATTCACTCCCTATTGTGCTGCTTCCTGTCAGAGACTCCTGAGCTGATACGCATTGCAGGAAACATGAATGTGTACAACAGGCAGGCTTTCCACCATGACACTTACTGGGGCAAATCTTACTTTGACCACACACACATCACACTCCATATTGCAACCATACACAGCTACAAGAATTCAAAAAGACATAAAGTACCAAAGAAAGGTACCATATTCTAAGATCTTGTATGTATCAACCCTTAGTCGCATACACATTTACAGTCCTTCACACTTAGGGTCTGTTCCTAATTTCCTATTGGTCTATCAATGCCTTGACCTTTCCCGTTCATTATTTAATAAATTCATCTATTTCCTGTGTTTTTCCCAAGTGCACGTTTTGCCTCCACTTTGAGGATGGTTTATGTAAATGAAAGACCATTATTTCTCAGTTACAATTTTTGAGAACAATTTCTTGAGTGATGTTTTGGGAGTTGTGTTCCAGAACATAGTATCTTCATGATCTTCCCCCTGGTAGGATGGATAACTGATCTTGCCTTGAGAGCTGTACTGAACCCTTTGGTTTCAGTAGAAAAGATAAATATTCCATTAATAGAAGTTGCAGGAGTAGCCTTCAAGCAGGCCGAATGTTTAGGGGAGGAATGGGAGTGAGCTGCCACCAGAACCTGCGTCTAGTGAGTCTCCTCAGCACTCAGGCAAGCGCAAGGGCAGAGTTAAGAACCCATTCCTGCGACGGGGAGAGGGAGCTCCTCAAGTACTGAACCGGACCCTCACCCCGTCAGGGATATCTGGGGCACCAGGGCCAGGGGAGCCTGCCCCTCTGATGGGGCATGCTGCTGACTCCCCCTCTGTGTAGCTGTCTCTTTCAGAAGTTGTACTCTTCACCCACAAAGTGTCTTCCGGTCAGTTACACCACAGCCCCCACAGTGGCCAAGTGGCAAATGACCATACTGTGATGTGGTGTGTGCTTTGCAGCTGATGGAGTTAACAGGTACCCTGAGCAAGTACGGAGGGAAGGGAAGGGGAAGGGATGGGACAGAAGCTCCGCTGGAGCTGGGATTCTGCCAGGTGGAGAAAGGTACACTTGTGACTCTGTGGGGAGGGGCAGAGGAATTTAGGTCACAAATTAACACAACGCATGGAGGTGGGCAAAGGCACAGATGTATTCAGAAAAAAGAGAACTGGAATTCATGAGGGATTATGCTCAGGTCAGAGTTTGAAGAGCCTTGTTTGCTACAAAGGACATTTAAGTGCATCGTGCAGAAGATCTGTGAGACACATTCCTATTATTGTTATACTCTGGTGATTCTCTTGGATGGTCTGGATTTAGAAAGAACACTGACAGCAGTAGATGCATGAAGTGAATATCAAAGTGTCCAGAGGCCAGGAGACCACCTGAATGTTCAGAGTCCCTGATGGTAAGGGCAACGAATGGGAAAGACCCAGAGGAAAAGAGGACGAAGCCTGGGATATGCCTCTACTTTTACAGCTTTGGTCAATGCAACTGCTCTGTCATAAATTATTTGCATTTACATTTATTTTATTACTGACAGAATTAAAGACTTTTTCCCCCGAAATTTGATTTAGTATTTACTTCTTCAATTCTCACCACCTCTATTGTTTATCAGCTGTGTGAGTCTGGGCAAGTTGTGTAACTTAAGCCTAGTGTCTTTGCCTTACATAGGGGACAGTAACTGTAACTATTGTGAGGACTGTAGTGATACTGAGATGCCAGAGTAAAAGGCCTCGCCTGTGTGCAGTACAGAGTAAGAGGTCGGTATGTTATTGTACTAATAATATGTTGATGCTTTTGCAAACCTTTATATATGTAATATATATTTAAAATCTATACTTAATTTCTTATATGAATTTTTTGTTTTGCTGTTTTTGTTGCACAGAGGTTATTTCACTCAATTTCTTGCTTTCGCTGAAAGTATTATATTTTAGAGCCAGGATATGTATATGAAATTCTATTACCCTAAGCTTGTTGGATCTGTTGGGTTTGTTTCTGAATTCTTTTTGTCCACTTTTCTGCTTTCATGTTTTGAATCTGTGCTCTTTCGAAAGTTATCACTTTGTATATGTTCTGAGTCTGGTCGGACATGTTCTTTTGTTAGTGATTTCTCTGATATCCTGCCATTCATTGACATATTTTGTAAGAATTTTAGAACTACT